CACTGAACACCTTGAAGGTCTTGAAGGATTCCGTCCATCACCTTTTGCCAAACCCCTGGAGCAACTTTTACACCAAACATCAGTCTGTTAACTGTGTATAATCCTTTATGAGTGCTCAAAGTTTGAATTTCTGCACTCTCAGCATCCATTTCCAAGTAGAGATAAGCGTTACTTAAATCCAAAGTACAGAACAACTGCCCTCCATTCATTTGAGCAAAAATGTCTTCGATCCGAGGTATTGGATGATGTTCTTCTTTGATTTGTTTATTTTCTGTAACCTTGTAATCAGCGCATATTCGTATGTTACCATTAGGCTTTACTACAGGTACAATTGGAGTACCCCAATCGGACTTGTCCGTTTTGGAAACGATTCCAGCTTCTTCCAGACGATTCAACTCGAGTTCTACTTTTTCAGTTAGGGCATATGGGACTGGACGAGCTTTCACAAAAATAGGTCTTGCCCCTTCAACAAGCTGTAAGTGTGCTTTTTTGTGAGGTATGAGTCCTACTCCTGGTTCAAATAATTCTTTGAATTTATCCAAAAGTACTTCGAGTGCAGTAGATGTAGTATTGCTACTAACTGTTTTAAGTTCTGCCCAATCCAGTTTGACCTCTCTAATCCATTCTCTTCCGAAAATTGCATAAAAATTTTGATTCACTATGTAGAGTTTACCAACAAACACCTGATCATTGTAAGTGCATTCTACAAAGACGACACCCCGGGGTTTGATTATTTCACTTGAGTATGTCCTTAGTTCTATGTTTGTGTGGAAAATCTTTTTATTTATGTTGAGTCTTTTAAATGGTAGAGTATGGTAGAATACTTATTGCTGCTCCAGTATCTAACTCCATCCGCACAGGTTCACCTTCAATAAGTATCTCGACCATAAACTTGTCATTACCGGCACTCTGGTTGTGTATCATAAAAACCTCTTGTTTATCTTCCTTATAATAGTCTATAGTATTGTCAGTTTCGGTACAATGAATTTCTGTTTGTTTTGTGCCTAAACATACGCTAGCAATATGCCCTTGTTTGTTGCATTTCTTACATATTTCTCTGATAAATTTACACTGATGTGCCCTGTGTCTAGGTGATCCACAACGATAGCATTTACCTTTGAGGCGTTCAAATGGAGACTTTAACTTTTTGTTCCAAGTAGGAGAAAAATGGGGTGGTTTTGTTTATGTACCTGCTATCTTGTTGATTTTCTCATTGGAATGAATGTTTTCTTCTACTATATGGCTTTCATTCTTTGCCAATTCCATGATGGAGGCAAGTTTCACTACATCTTGAAACGATGAAGCAGATCTTTCTTGTAATAATTTTGCTCTTATGTCTGAATTGCTAATACCTCTTATAAACTGCATGCGTAGTAATGTGTTTGCAATTGATTTCCCACAATTATTACAGTTGAAGTCACAGTCTGAAGATAACTTTTGAAGCTCAACGGAATATATTTTTACGGTTTCTTCAGATTCTTGTGTTCTTGTCATAAATTTGTGTTGTAAGGCCCAAGTACTAGGTTTAGGGTCAACATAATCAGCCAAAAGACTTACTAATTCAGCATATGTTTTATCCAAAGGACTTTCAGGAGCGCACAAATCATACAGCCTCTGATGTAAATGTGGCGTTAAGGCATGTAGCATTGACACTTGATCCTTTGGTTCCAATTCTTGGCTATGTAGATATAGAAATATCTCAAATCGACGAATGAAGTTCTTGAATGATTCATTTTCCTGATAAGGTGTGAAAATCATTGAGGAAGTAGTGGATCGACGTTGTGGAGAAGACAAATTTGATGTACTAGGCACAACATTTTGAATGTGCACTTGTAGTTCTGCAAGCTGTCCCATACGTTTTTGTAACTCATCCATTACCTTGTAATATTTGTCCTCCATTTCTACTCTGTAATCTATTTCTTTCTCAATTTCAACTTCTTCAGTTTTCTCTTCTATTAATTGTTGTACAGAATTAAATCTTTCCCAATACTCTTCAATTGTTGTTATCCTAGTTTTGATTACTTCTTTTGACATGTTTTGTAGGTTTGCTAGCCATCTTTCAGCCTTAGACAACTGACCCTTCACTACTACTCTAATCTTCTTTAACCCTCCGAGCGTCACTCGTCGAAAAATCGACTCACGACACACTTTGTGTAGTGTCACGCGTCGATTTTTCGACACACGAATATCGTTTACGGTGAAGGCTCTATGACTGACTGAATCGGATTGAACTGGATCGAGTTAGGTATCGTTCTTTTCGTTAGATTCTAAGCTTTCTCCAGAGGTCTGTCTCTAAGCGCTTTATGTTCTCCGAGCCGATCGTAATTGTAGCAGACAGCTGACGTTCGTGTTTTAGACAACTTGGTTATTTCACATCGGTGACTTGTGTGTTTTTGTACGTTTATTGTAGTTTTTAGTGGTAAAAATGGACAGTAGTGATATACGTAATGCACTAGAAGATGATATTAGTGATGTTGAAGGACTTATTGACGATCCGGATGAAGTAGGTAGTGATATTGATGTAAATTATCAGCCAGATTCCTAGCTATGGTTAGGCTATGCATTCTTAGCTAAACGCTATGTACTAAAAATCTGTTTTTTGCCCATAACTTATTTATTTGCAATCTACTTCCTTATATTATTATATATTTGTAATCCTCATAAAATTTAGAACGAAGTGGCTATTATCAAATATTTATAGGCCTATAATTTATACAATTTCATTGAGCGCGAACTTATTTTTTTTTCAATTTTTCCAAAATAATTTTTTTTTACCTAAAAAATTTTTTTGAAACAAATATTCCTTATGTTTTATGTATGATATTGAAGCCCATGATTTTCCAAACAAAATGGTATATAGAACAGTAGAATTAACATTGTTTTAAGCTTCTCAGATCCGTTTTAATAACACCTTGCAAATGCGCCAAAAATAGGTGGACATTAAGGCCTAAACTATGGACACTCGGAGGGTTAAATCAGTCAAACTTTCAGTGTTACTTAGGTCACTCATATTAAAAAAAACAATTCAAATCGTAAAAATAGAATGTAAAAAAAAATAAAAACTGGTTAATTTAATTTAATTTAATTAATTTAAACTGGTTAATCGTCGCCAAACTGTTATTAAATAAAAGATGTGTAAAATGAAATAGGTGTAGGCCTATTCTGAAATGAATCCTAAATAACAATGATGGTAAAGTAAACAAAAACAAAGTTAACTTATTAAACATAACATATGGTATTTTTTTTTACATACAGTATGTTAGAAAAGACACATCAATAATAATATCCTTTAATTCTATTATGTATGAAGTATTTTTACACAGCTTAATCCCAATTTAATATTAACATTGTGAATGCAAATTGTTTTCACAACAAAAAATACCTTTTTTTTAGAGTAAATAGGCCCTAACAGTTTTAAAACACACCTTAAAGAATACCTTTGACACATCCTGATTTTTCAATTAAAGATTTTTTTTAATTTTAAGGAATGTACAATAAAAATTGTTAAATTGGTTCACCTTATGGTTGGCAGGTTCTTGAAGATTGTAGATTCCTATGCTCGATGTACATTTCACCACAAGTGTGGTATCTCCAGGAGCAAATTTTGTTATCACATCACTTAATACACAAACACTATTTTAATATTTATTTATGTAATGTAAATAAATAGTAAAATATTGTTTTCCTACAGTCACTTGACAAAGTGGCCTTCCTTGCACTGATTATAGTACAGAAAGTTGCTAATTGCTGCATCTACTTACTTTTTCTACACACTTTTTACTTTTTCCACTTTACTATTGACGCACACCAGTATTTCAAATTAACAACACAAAACAGCGTGCTTTTATAAGGCACGTAATAAGTGTACGCTTGAAAATAAGTTAGCAACACTCAAAGATATCATGACTACGATCAGCTGGTGCAGCATTTCCCATTTTGTTCAATGTTTGGATTCAACCTAACCTAAAAACGTGTAACACAAGTGCAAACTGCCTTTGCTGCACTCGAGAAACTTTTGACACTCGCCTACGGCTAGTGAGTAAACATTACTCTAGTGTGTAGCGAAGCAAAGTACTACTTCCCCCACTAGTTACAAATAACTATAGTGTATTAAGTGATGTGATAACAAACTTTGCTCCTGAAGATGCCACACTTGTGGCTAAATGTACATCGAGCATAGGAATCTACAATCTTCAAGAACCTGCCAACATATGGTAAACCAATTTAATTAAAAATTTGTTCTTGAAACTGAGAGCACCACAAAAAATTATAAAATTTGATGTCAGCACCGTACAAAACCATGGAAACTGTTGATTTGTAACTATCGTTTTACTTGAAGGACATTAGTTGTAAGATGACTCTGTTCAATGTACTCTTGTAGATACTCTAATGAATGAAAATAATTTGATTTTATTTCCTAAATTTGGGCAAATGCCTGCATTTATTCAATCTGAAATGGCATCTGTATGGCAATTGGCAACTAAAGTTTCAACTCACATACAATTAATCTTCAGACTAGTACTAAGATCTCTTCTTGCTTCATTTAAAGGTACATAGAAGTACTGGCTTGATGATGGCTCTAAGTGACTCAAAACTAGTTGCCATAGCAATGTTTCAGATCGCATAAAATCCACATATTGACCAATTTATAGTAGGCCTATTATTTAAATGCGATCAAATGGCTAAAATTCAATAAAATAAAATTGCTTTGATTAATTTGTAATCACTGTTAAAATAATCTTATTTATTGCAAAATTACTAATAATTTGTTACAAGTTTGTTATTTACAAAACTTATTGTAAAACTTATAAGAAACAATTTATAAAATATTTTCATATTTATGATTACAAAAATGTTATTAAGCAAATTATGGACGTGCTAGTTCACAGGGTAGTTTAAGGTTGTTTGATAACAGTTAAATATATTTTCAACTTTTATTTTTTAATAACTGCTAATAATTTCAAAAATGTTCATTTTGCTGAAAATTCCATCATCTTTAGGGTGAACTGCTATAATGTGATCGAAGCTCAAGCTCCGTTTGGTGGGTTCAAGATGTCTGGGAATGGAAGAGAGTTGGGAGAGTACGGACTCCAGGCTTACACAGAAGTCAAGACTGTTATTGTTAAAGTTCCCTCAAAGAACAGCTAAACAAGGTACCAGTACTACAAAAATACACACTTTAAAAAGTCTGTTTCAGTTCCCAACAATCACAATGAATTAAAGAAGAACTAAATTTGGTAAATGTGTTTCCCTAGGAAAATTTGAATTGAATAGTAAATATAGTTTAACTGTGGCAAGCTACGCCAACCTTTTGTTGTTTTGTTACCTCAAATGTCCACATTTAGGTTATTAAATATATCTATTTTGATTTTAAACTAATTTTGTGAATCACACTGCTATTTTTAATTTTGTAAACATTATAAATAAGAAGTTGAGGAATTGTGTTACCTGTGGTACCCCAAATATTATGAGATCATCTGTATGTTGGGATGGTTTTGCGTCTTTCATTTAGATAAAAGGTTTAATAAAAATAATTCACTATTTACAATTAAGTTTAACTATATTATCTAGAGTTTTTTTATACTTTTAAACTAAGTCTACTGTAATACACTTATTTAAAGAATTTAGGTTGCGCTAATGTTGTTGCTTGTGCTTGGTTAATTAAACAGATATATTTTGATAAAAATGCCATTTTATTTTACCTCTGAAAACTATATATACAAATACGCACAGCTCAATTAAACATATTGTTCTACTCTAGGTTGTTAAATGACTCATCTGGTAACTGAGTTTAGCAGGGTGAAATATCATGTAATGAGATTCTTCATCTTAGACGCAGTTTTGGAAGTATAAACTTTTATACAAACGAATATACTTTTTTTACTAAATAATGGTGTAAATACCTGCATCTATGTGATCAATGTGTTGCTAAAATGCAACCGGTTTCGACTCACAAAGGAGTCATCGTCAGGCCAGTACAGATGTCTTCTTGCTTCATTTGAAGGTCGTCAATTTGTGATAAATAAATACATTTAACAAACACACGTACACGAACATAGAAACGAACATTTAAGGTTAAAAACGAAAGATAATACTAAAGCGGTAACGGGACACGACGTGATCGGGTGGGGGTTATGTCTAGACATAACTATTATAAAATGCTTTTATAATAGTTCTAGTTTATAATAGTAATGTCTAGACATAACCCCCGCCCGATCACGTCGTGTCCCGTTACCGCTTTAGTATTATCTTTCGTTTTTAACCTTAAATGTTCGTTTCTATGTTCGTGTACGTGTGTTTGTTAAATGTATTTATTTATCACAAATTGACGACCTTCAAATGAAGCAAGAAGACATCTGTACTGGCCTGACGATGACTCCTTTGTGAGTCGAAACCGGTTGCATTTTAGCAACACATTGATCACATAGATGCAGGTATTTACACCATTATTTAGTATTTAAATGTGATCAGGAGGCTAAAACTCAATATACTTTTTTTCTCTAGTGGTTTGTAGGGGCAATAGCCCCTATATACATTCTAGTAATTATTTTGTCCATATTATTAGTCTCGTGGGTTACCCTACCTTGAATTATTGTTTAACATTTTTGTATATTATCTATATTTATAAAAGAGGAAGTTTGTATATATATATTTGAACGTTATGGACTCCGAAACCGCTTGACAGATTGTAAAATCAGGAATTATTAAGCATTATTCAAGGATGGTTTGTGTGAAGTTTCGTGCAGATCCGTCAAAAGGGCTCCGCCCCAGTGGCTCTGGAGTTTCCCGTGTTAACCTTATGAGTACTTATAATTAAATGGAATTAAAGATTCTTAACAGCTGGTTCAACTAAACAATTTGATTCTGTGGTGTTCAATAGCATTAAAAAGTTAAAAGGTTTACCAACAGGGTGCAGCACTATTATATATTTTTAATTTATGACAACAGCTAATTTGAAACCAAAAGGTGAGTGAGCGTAGCGAACGAACTTCAACCTGGAGGCGAGTTGGCATAGCGAACGAGCTAAACTGAAGCAAGTGAGCGCAGCGAACGAGCTCCAACCTACAGGGGAGTAAGCGTAGCAAACGAACTTCAACCAGGACGTGATTGAGCAATGTGAACGTGCTCATCTTGAAAATGAACGAGCATTTGTCATAAAACGGGCCAGCTAGTAATATGTATAATAGTTATTACATACCTTCATAATGCATTTTGATGTATTCTCTGTTTCAAATAAAAATTCCAAAGGACATGTGGTGTGTTTATAATATAAACGTTTTAATCATAATACAACTAAGGACCATTTTCCAATAATCTTCATGACTAATAATAAAATCTACAGAGATTTCTTTGAATATAGACAAATTCACTTAGAAAAACACATAGAGATAATGTCATCATCCAAATTGTAAAATTGTAATTCTATAGGTAACAAAATCTCTCCGAAAACAATATTTTTTGTATAGTATCCATTTTGGTCGATTCCTCGGTCATTATTTGGTTCTAGTATTATTTTAACATCATCTGGCCGCTTTAGCTTGCTGAACGCAACAAGTTGACCATGGGTATTGGGTAAATACCTACTGGGTTTTTCAAATAAATGCCAACTTTTGTGAAGGTTTGGCCTTGTGCCATCAATATGCAATAATGTATTTTAAAATAATCACTTGGAATGAAGTGCTGCTTAAGTTTGAATGTTATGGGTACTATGGCTATCCTCTTCACTCATTATGCTACATTTTATAAGAATGATATAAGTTACTCGTCCCTGACAGACTAAAAATATCAAACAAAAACGTAGTAGGCATAGGTCTATTATCTTTAAATAAAATCTCACATTAAACTCCTACCGTACCTAATTTAAAATTAAAACACATTTCACTGTAGTTGGGTGTAGCCTATTGGCCTTTACTAAACTCACTCGCCATTTTCAAGGTTATGTTACAAAATCAACTTCAAACTATGGTTGTCATGTTTCTGCAACAAGATTGAAAATTGCTCAATCAAAATATGTTCATTTTACTTTCTATTAAACTTCCACTAAAGAAAATCAATTTTATTATATGTTACAAATTCACTTCAAAGTAAAAACCGTCGAAACTGACGTTGACATATCACTCCATTCCGTTATGATTTGTTGTTAAGAGTCCTTAGAGCCTAGACGTTCTAACTCGGTAAACAATTAAAAAATCTACAAAGACAATTTATAATGTCACAGTATACTAGATGTTTAAATTACAATCACTATGGTGTTGAAAAAATATTTTGAGATGGTACATAACTCTTCAGCGGCTGTTTGAAATTAACGAAATTAACATTGGTTTTATTGTGAGAAAATCCAAGTTGGCCGCTAGCTTCGTTTTGGAGAACAATTCAAAACTACAAAGAACATTTCTAATCTCACAGTATATAGATATTTAAATTATGATCACTTTGGCCTACCGCACACGAGAGACTTTTTGTCGGCCGACTGTTGGCCATCTGTCTGGCTGGAGTCGGGTGGACAATCGAAAAGTCGTCAAGACTGTTTGGTCGTTGACTATGAGAGCCACGACTGTTTAGTCGTCTTTCGCGAGTCAAAAGGATGTATATGACAGAAACCGCTGTCATATGTGCGTTACTGATAAGATTTTGTGCAAGAAAACGTATGAGAAAATACTGGGTGCATCCAATTTATAGTCCGAGAACCTTGAAAGGCCAGATTTACCTCTATACTCTGATTTGAGGAAATATCCGGACAAATTTTTCATGTACTCATGAATGAGTGTTGATAGTTTTGACCAATAATAGTTAATACCCCGGCTTCAAATAACGGTTGGGGATTAAGCTGTAACCGTAGGTCTCATGGTAAGACCTGGTCCCGGGACCGATTTACCTTTTCATTTTGATGTCCCCAGAGGCCAAAAACACCATCCGTTCAAATTCACACACACATACATACATTTGTCCGTTAGCACGATAACTCGAGCAAAAATGATCCGATTTTGATGAAATTTGGTACAAACGTATAAACCTACATGTATTTTATTCGAACAAGTTCGCAAACCAGCATGATCGGACTATGGTAAAAATTAGGTTTTCCCATTTTTTTAACGATAAAAACAAAAGATTCCGCAATTTCTTTAGAAAACATTTTGCAGAGCTTAAAAAACAAATAATTTAGCATGCTAATTGTTATCATAATGGTTACAGGGAAATTCCAAAATATTTAAAGTTAAAATTTCCATGTTATTCTTATGTAGAACAAGTAAACTGTTGTAGTTTGTTTTTTTATGGATGTATTTTTATAAAACTTGGCAAATCTATTTATTTTATACTCAGCTATTAATGTTTTACTAAAACACACCTTGAGCACCCTCCCTGTAGCAGCAAACCTAGGTACTCGTAAATCCTAATGTTATTGCAATAGATTAAATAAAAAAATCAAATCAGGCAAATGGGAATTCACTTAGTCTGCAGGTTTGCTGCAGCGGGGGTATTTTTTATTATGTCCACCTTCAAAGACTTTATAAAGAAGGGACCGTGCCTCCACGTCATCGATAAGTTTATCAACTTTCTCGTTCCTCAAAACATTTGCACTGGTGGTTGTCGAAGCCATAATAATAACAATAACACACAAATAATAATACTATTCATAATAACAATAATAATACACATGACAACAACGCACTTGACTGTCAGACAGACAGACTTTTTAGTCGTCAGTGTACGCGTTCAAACTTATCTCCATGCCTTTATGAATACGACACGACAGTTGAGTCGGGGATCAGTCGGCGGGAAAATCGGTCAGCACCAAAATGCCCCGATTGTCTGCAGACAGTCTGCCGACTGTCTTGCTGGGGTCGGCCCGTGTGCGCGTTTAGATTTATCACTATGGGGCCCACTTTGACTCCCGACTACGACTAAATAGTCGGCCGATAAAAAGTCCCTCGTGTGCGGTAGGCCTTTGATGTGTGAAAAAATATGTTTGGGTAACAAATAACTGTTCAGCAGCTGTTTGAAATTATCCGAGATGGCCACTCGCCTCCAAGGACTCTTAAGCCATCTGTCTCTCTCTCTCTCTCTCTCCCCCCCCTCTCTCACTCTCTCTCTCTCCCCCTATCCCCCTCTCTCCCTCTCTCTCTCACTCTCTCCCTCGCCCCCTCTCCCTCTAGTCGGTCAGCCAGTCTGCTCTGCTCGTCTGCTCATTCTGTTTCTGCTTTGTTTTCCCATCAAACAGCTGTTTTGCCAGGCTGACGTTGCCATGATCTTTCAATTGTTATACTGTGAGAGTAGTACCATAGATAGTACCAAGAATTTTTTTATTCTATTTGTAGACAGCATGGCGTCTGAGTTTCAACTGCTTTCCCCCCTCCCACACAAGGCGCAGTGCTCAGTGCGCACTGTAGGTTGTCACGGCAACCGTGTGTCGTCCATCGATATATAACTACTACTGGATTGCGCGCTGTCCATAAGAGCTGTGTAGAGAAATTCGGTCGCGTACAGGTGTGTGTGGCGGGACGTATCGCGGTGATGCAGGCGCCCGGTAGGGGCAAAACAGCAACTCGTGCCGCCACCCGCTGCTATTCCCTTCAACGAACTATCCTGCCAAAAAAATTATTCCGCCACTAGCAACCCCGCCAAATCTATAATAGTTTTTTTAACAATTCGAGGTCATGTACGAAGAAGCAAAAGTAAACCACCTGT